AAGGATATTTTCATTTTAACTTAACATGGTCTTTTTTATAATTTTGTGTCTTAGAGGCTGGCACTGTAGGTATGTGTTGCTATACCTACTTCAGCGTAGTTTTAACTTGCTTTTACCTGAAGGGAAAAGATGTTGAGCAAATTCTTGAATATATAAATAATTCTATGGCATGTCCAGTTGTCAAATACTTTCTCCTATTCTGTAGGCTATGTTTTCACTTTGCTGAGTATCAATTTCAGTGTGCAAAATCTTTATAATTTCATGAAATCCCATTAGTCAGTCTTTGGTTTATTTCCTGAGTAACTGGAGTCCCATTCAGAAAGTCCTGTGTCTATGTTTATGTCTTGAAGGGTTTTGCCTATACTCTCTTGTAGCATCGTCAGCATTAAAGTCTGGTATATTTTGAGTTGATTTTGATGTAGTGTGAAAGATACAGATCTAATTTCATTATTTATATGTGTAAATACAGTTTATCTAGCATATTTTGACTGAAGAATTGTCTGCTTTCCAATGTATATTTTTATACAACATTGGCACATTAGGTGGTTGTAGTTTTATGGACTTACGTCTGTGTATTCGATTGTGTCCATTGGTCTGTGTGTCTACGATTGTGCATATACCTTATTGATTTTGGTTCTATGACTTTATAGTTTAATCTGAGATGCCTCTTGCATTGCTATTTCTGTTTAGGGTTGCTTTGGCTAGTTAGGATCATTTGTGATTTTATATGAATTTTAGGATTTTTCCTTTGAGCTCTGTAAAGAATGTCATTGGAATTCTGATGGAAATTGCACTTTTTACAATACTATTTGTGCCACCACAAGTATGAGAAGTCTTTATCTCATTTTCTTCAGTTCTCAATTTCTTGAAGTTGTTGTTGCAGGGGTATTTCAACTCCTTGGTGAAATTTAGTTCTAAGTATATTTTTGAAGTTTTATGAATAGGATTTTATTCCCTAATTTCTTTCATGGCAAGTTCATTATTTGTATCTAGAAAAGCTACTGATTTGTATGTTGATTTTCTATCCTGATACTTTCCTGAACCTCTTACCATGCCTTTCTCATCTTGACTGACTATAGACTCTAACTAGGAGCCAAAATAAACTCTCCTTTCTTTCATCCGCGTTAGTCACATACATTTTCACAGCAAAGAGAAAGCATCTAATGCACACTAATGTATCAGTTTTAAAAGAATCATAACTATAGAGATGGTCTGACACTGCAGGGAGCTCACTGACACTTCAAATCCCCTCAGTCCATGGTCACATAGCTAACAAGTAGCATCCAACACTATACACAGTGCATTTATGGTGGGTCAGGAGACCAATCAATTTATGCTGTCTGATGGGTTCTTGTTCCACTTCCACAATAGACATTCTTTCACCTAAAACACTCATGTGCTGTGGATCCAAGATGCTTTGTTCCCCTCCATCTGCATATGTATTCATTCTTTTTACCTTGACAAGTTCATATTATAAATTCTTGGGCTTTACATAAAAGCTGTTTTTCAAGGCCATTTTAACCTATGGAAGTTTCATTACAAACTGTTACCTTCATATGGAAAGAGAATTCTTTGTGCGAACTTGTGTTAAATCTTACTGCTCAGAATCTATAACTATTCTATTGTGGTGAACTCATTCCATGAATTCATGAAAGGCCGTTTACATGACTGATATTTGAGGTAATAACATGTAGTAATCCAGGGAGAGTTATGTTATGGTTGTGTTTCTTCTAAGCAAATGTAATGATCCACTGTATTACTCACTACTACAAGGTCACAAGAACATACATTGTTCTGATTATAATTACAAAATAAATTCCTTCTTCTTTTATGAGGAAATATTACCAGGGTTAATTTGGTTTAAATGCAAGTATTAACTAACATGTCAGAGCTTTGTCAGAACTTACGCTTAAAGCCATAACCAATACACATTACTAGGCTTGCTTTTTAACTCCACGAAATACTTCCCCCACTGAAAAGCATCAAAACAAACAAAGGGGCCAACCAGAAGGGTTAGTATCTTATAAATTTAAACCATCTGACATTAAAAAGTGTAAAAATTATTTTATTTTCTATACTTAATAGTTAGAATTGAAATTGACAATGTGCCATTTAACATAAAACACCTAACCTATTTGAATGGATTTTTGTTAGAAATCTGTGTTCTCTGGCATTACATATCATTTGCTTTTCTGTGTTTCTTTGATGAGTAAATATTCCAGGCATAAACTCATCGTGTATTATGAAAGTCTTCTTATGATTCAGAAGTTTTTGGTTTTTTTCTAAGGGGTAGGGAAAGAAGGGCAGTAGAAAGAAGGGAAAGAAGAAATAAAAGAAAAAGAAACAGAAAAGAAGAAAGTGAAATAGCATATGACCTAGTTTTAATTATCACCAAAATTTATCTCTTCTCAAAATAACTCAGCTTTAGTATATCCAGTCTTTTTTAGGATAAGGTGTTTGCTTATAATGATCACAGACAACCATATCTTATGTATTGCATACTTTCATATAAGAGTTACAGTTTTTTTTTAAAGACAATGTAAACCATAACTAACCCTCACATTCACCTACAGCTAATCTGGAATATGACTTAGAGACTGTTTCATTTATCTACATATATCAATAGGTCTAAAAATGTTTGTAAATATGTATTTATCAGACTCACTCTTAGTAACTATTGAGGAACAAAACCAGAGAGTATTCCATCTTAATTACAGACAGGAAACTAGAAAGTATTTGAGAAATATTTCACTCACGTCCTCACGGTAGAGAAAAAAGCAGATTAAAATACTTAAGTATCTTTGAGCTCTATCTATCTATCTATCTATCTATCTATCTATCTACCTATCTATCTATCATTTACATATGCATCTGTCTACCTATGCATTTATGTATCTATCTACCTGCCTCTCTGTCATCTGTCTATCTACCATCTATCTCTTTCTCTCTATTAATCATCTACTTACCTACTGCCTATCCAAATAGCATCTATCTGTCTGTCTGTCTCTCCCTCTCTCAGAATTTTTTATTTTCCTCAGATACAGTTGGTATACTCAAGAAATATATTCAGGTGACTAATCTCCAGCACAAGCTTTGAGAAGTTTACTTTAAATTCAGCCAAATCCACTGTTTTAATTACAGGAGACTCACTGGTTTAATAAACCCACTCCACAGCCCACTGCTTAAAGACTTTGACAGCAGGATTCTGACAGCCAGGTCCAAAATGCAAATGTTTCCATCAGCATCAACATATTGACTCCAGCAGCCTTGCTGCTAAATTACACTGGAGTCTGCAGAATGAGGCTATGGAGACTTTGGCCAAGTGAAATCAGTTGAGTTTCTTTTTAAATTCAGGCAGAGAGAAGTAGCCAGTTCAGTTATGGTTCACTTAATTGAGACTTGCCCAGAGGCAGTGTCCAGTTTTCTGAGCCAAAAGAGTTAAGAACCAAAAAAAAAAAAAAAGAAGAAGAACATATGCAGTAAGAAGACATTAGTCCTTATATACAAAGTATAGACAAATTTCAGGTGAGAGGGTGTCAGTGTTTTGATTGTGTAAGTTTTGGCTGACAGAAAGTGATCCACTTTTTTATTTTGATTTTACAGGTGATTACAGCTAAGATTACATAAATCTCAGAAGAGGCTTTGAAATTTGGACTTTTAAATATTATTGAGACTGTGATAGACAATGGTGACTTTTGAAGTTGGACTAGATGCATTTTGTATTATAACAATGTTACAAACTTATGGGGACCAGGGAGTGGTATGTGGTAATTTCAATGTAATTGGGCCCCATAATCTCATAGGGAGATTAAGACAGAAATTATATTTATAAACAGCAGTTTTTAAATCTCAATTTAGATACACTTAGACATCCCAACATAGATAAACATGCTATTATAAGCTAATAGGGGCTGGCAGTATTTGAAAACAATATTTTAAACTGTGTCAGCTAATTTTTACATTAACTAGTTTTGATATAATAATTATGTAACTACAGTTGCTTTGTTAAATTTTCATATGGGAGTTTCTGATAATTGAGCTCAGATTTCTACACATGATATGCAAACATTCTTCTACTTTGCAACCTAGCCAACTTTTCCAAAACTTACTTTTTATTCCAGAAATTTTTTTATTTTTTCATCTGTATCTCATAAGTATGGTAATGGTGAGAATTATTTTTATTCCCTGGAACATCTAAAATTATGTATAACTGCCCATTTTTTTTCAAAACCTGGTCATGTGGAAAAATTAATTCCTATTGAATGCCATTGTTTGCTATAATTTTATTTAAAGTTTCATGTTTTCATGTATGTCCCACAGAAAAGTAACACTTGTCAGATGAGCAAAGAAGTGTTGGCCCTTCCTGAAACGCTTCTATTGCATGATCTTGGTTTTGGGATTCAAACTGGCAGAAAGGACTATTAATTATCATGTTGCAACCGTCTATCTACCCTTGAGGCTGGGAAGAGAGCATAGACCCAAGATATCCCAGTGATGTAATCTAATAAATTGACATGTCTGAACCAATGATTATGAAGGCATTCAATGGTAGACAAGTTCATGCTTAAATATGAATTCTGAATCACTATAGAAAAAGATTAAAAGAAAAAAATGTTTGTTACATAAAATATTATAATGTCATTTATAAGCAAATATTTTCATCAGTTTTGCAGTTGTTTTTATTTATATCATTGAATGTTGTTCAGACACTCGTACCTGGAATTTAATTGGAGAAGAAGGAAATGATGTGAAAATCTTTAGCTATGGAAATACTGTTTCTCCCATATGAATGCACCAAAAATGTGTACCTCTTCAAAAAGAGGGTGAAGAGGAGAAAGTGGGAGGAGAAGGAGGAGGAGAAGGGGGAAAAAGAGGAGGAACAAGGGGAGGGAGAGGAGGAAGAGAAGAAAGAAAAGGAAGTGGACAGGAGCAAGAGGAGCCATAAGAAGTGGAGACACAGCAGCAGCAGCAGCAGCTCCAGCATAAAATGAAACTTGTACCTTTAGTTTGTATTTTCTTCTCAGGTTTCTCCTGCTTTTCAGCCTTTTCCTTGTGTATTTCTACAGAAACAGAATATACAGTTTAAAAACTTGAAAAAGTGTAACATTTAAACCATACCAGTGACCTAAACTTTTAAATTCTACAACAAAATAGGAAATTTTCTAGCAAGCGCATCTTTTTTGTTTGTTTGTTTGTTTTCATCCACATAATATCATTAGTCATACACAAAATTTTTGGTGCACAGTTTTATACAATCAAATCATCAGACACAATCTAACCTCTAGGTGAAATAATGATGCATTCATGATCATCAGCTACTTAGCAAGCTCATCTTAACCCCAAAGATGGAAGGAGAAAGACCACAAATCCAAATCACTATGGTCAAATTAATTAAAGCAAACTTTTTTACTCATGTACTTGGGCTGCCTCCCCTTAAGCAAGGTTGGAAAGGCCAGTACTATAAGTGAGGAAAACATAGTTTGTTTGTTTGTTTGTTTGTTTGCTTTTTATAGCTCAGGAGTAGAAAGTTTATAAATAGGAGATTTGGTAGGCAAAATAGCCAGGGTTACAGGAGCAGAACATAAGCATAACAAGTTAGTCATAATAACCTCTTGAAAAAAAGACATGTGTTCACACAAAAGATAGGGGTGCAAGATGGTTTTGAACAAAGGCATGGTTGTCATTTTCTGGAACAGGAAGTACAGAACCATTTGTAATTAAGATTTACAGGTGGGACATGCTCCAATCCTTCAGAAACAGAGGTTTAATCATAAACAAGAATGAGCCTAGTTTCTGTTTGCCATATGATGGCTTTCAAGCCCAAGATGCAGGCAGGCTTATTCATCACTAACTGAGGTCTAAAAGAGGCTTGTTAATAATTACCACAGAAAATTGCTTCTTTATGGAAATAAAGGAAAAAGTGGAACTGTCTCAAAATCAGTCCTTTAAAAAGTGAGAATTCACACTGACAGATATGCCTGTCACCAGTTCCAGAAAATGAGCATAAACTCTGATTGTGTTTAACTTTAATTACTCTTGACTCAGACTGAGAATCTCTAGTATGATGTAGAACTTCATTTGGATGTTAAGGAAGACTTAGCTTTATCCTATTTAATTAAGAACTTCTGAAATGAACTATAGCCATGAATTATCGACCCCCAAAATGCATCTGTAAGTCACATCTGACATCATATTTAAACAACAAGTATGCCAACTTTATATGGTACATGTCATATTTAGCTGAATTTTTTTCTGCATATCAGATTTTCACAAGTTTATTCAATTTGAATGAATCTTCATCATAATATATATATAGTGTCAATGAAGAAATGTTAGAAAATGAAGTTAATTCACAATTAATTTGGAGAGAAGTAAATTTGAAATGAGGATTTGAAAAGTGTTGTTGCTATCTCCAAAAGGTTACTCATTCTTAAATATCATGTGCTTTCTTTAAAAAGGCCAATGATGTTTGTTTAACTTGTTTATTTGGCAGCTGGTCTGACATGACAGTAATTACTGTATATATTTAAAATTCTCATCTGTTAATTTGCATTTTCATCTTTGTTATATTTTAGAAGTCTACTGTAGTTAGTTGTCATTTTACCTTTACTTTTTGGCAGGCCCACTACCCATCTCCCGAATAAATACACATAGGCTTATTCTTACATATGAATGCCCAGCCTTAGCTTGGCTTGTTTCTAACTAGCTTTTCTTAAATTACCCCATCTACGTTTTGCCTCTTGGCTTTTATCTTTCTCTATTATATAAACCTGCCTTTACTTCTAACTCTATGTCATGCTGTGTAGTTGGGTGGCTGGTCCCCAAGGCCCTCCTCTCCTTCTCTGTTTCTCATTGTCTCATTTTTCTTCCCAGATATCTTCCTCCTATTTATTCTCTCTGCCTTCCAGCCCTACCTGTCCTTTCTTCTGCCTATCTATTGGTCATTCAGCTCTTTATTAGACCAATCAGGTATTTTAGGCAGGCAAAGTAACACAACCACACAGAGTTAAACAAATGCATCATAAAAGAATGCAACACATCTTTGCATCATTCAACAAGTATTCCACAGCATAAAAGAATGCAACATATCATTAGTTAATATTCCACAACAATCTACTATCTCAAGACTTGTCATTCAAAAACCCTCAATATCCTGTAACAAGACAGTGAATGATGTTAGTTATTCTTCTAAGCAGATATGCACAACTGTAAAGGTCTTCCCTCAATTTCTACCCTTAATCTATCATTTTAATATGCATAGTTCCATTTGTCCACTGTCATCTCATTGTGACTTTAAATATGGTCAGACAGTGCTGGAGAGTCTTCAAGTTCATATCTGTGAGTCTGCAGGTGCAGGCCGAATCAAAGAGCTTTTCTATCTGCCTGGCTTTCCCAATAATATTTACTTCCTTAATACCCCCACATTAAACTCCACAGGAAGGTTTCTCAGCTTAGCACTGTGATCTTGGACTGGGTGAATATGATATAGTCATGCTGTGAGTTGATTCTGTGCATTCAAGAATATTTGCTAGCATCACTGGCCTCTATCTAATTGATACTAGTAGTGCCATATAGATCTTTTAATTGTGACAATAAAAAGTGACAGCTAATTTTTACATTAGCTAGTTTTTATTATAATAAATACATAACTACATTTGCTTTGTTTAATTTTGCATAGGGGAGGTTCTGGTAATTGACCTCAGATTTCTGTACATGATATGCAAGCATTCTTCTACTTGACAACATACTCAGCTTTTACAATAATTAATTTTTATTCTGGGAAATTATTTTATCATTTTTCTCTGTATCTCGTAAGAATGGGAATGGTGAGAATTTTTTTCCCTCCTGGTATGTATAACTGCTCATTGCAAGACATGATCATGTTGAGAACTCTGTTCCTATTGAATGCAAATGTTTCCTGTCACACAAAATGAACCCCCACTGAGAATCACTGCTCTAAATATACATAATGAGTAGTATCAAATACAAATATCAACAACAGCACTGTTTCAACTTTATTGATAGACATCTGTACATACTTATGTGACAAGTCCAAATTAATACAATTTATAAGAATAAAGTGGATGAAGACTTAATTTAGAAAATAAAGTATCTCTTTATTGATGTTTATATTAATCACATTTTACAAGGATACCAGTTGGAGTCTACCACCTGTGGCTGTATTAATGGTCCAACTTTGGTAGCTTACTGTATAAAATTATGTGAAAAAGACACTATCTGAGTTTCTGGAAGTTGTAGTAAATGTTATTAAAACGATCCATAATCAGATAATCTTAAAATGATTCTGAGTAGTTTGAGTGGATAGAGAGCTCTGGGAAGAGATATGAGTTTTCCTGGAAAGGACACAATTCTGCCTGTGACATTTCTTCCTTATTCTCTACAAGCAGAAGCAGATCCTTGAGAAGAAATCTCTTAACACTTAAATGGGTCTTCATAATTTTCTGATTGGCTGTATTTGAGCTCTGAATGAGATATTGGATTAAACACTGTTAAAATTAATTTGTAGATTTCCCTATTTACTTTCAAAATTTGGCTAGTTACATGCATTTAAATAGTACAGGTAGGTCATGTACATTACAGCTGTACAAGATTATCGTAGGGCCTTAGGGGACAAGTGTCCAATTTTAAATCTTAGAGCAATCACAGAGGTAAGACTTCTCAAATGAACTGATTAAAAACAAATTTGAACTTCTTCCAGGTCAACTTCCTCTCTTTGTCTTACCCAAATCAACTGAAGCTATGCAGAAGATTGGAACTTGGCATAAGTCAAGTCACTAAAACAAGTGAAATGCCAAATACTTGAAATATTCTTCAAATAGGTAAAAGAAGTTATTTCAAGAGATGTTTATACTATTCCTACGTGGCGTTAGTGTGAAACAAAGATGGAATGAGGCTTTTAAAATTAAAATCTTCATTAAATGTTATACTCATTTTGATATAAAAGCTAGAAATTTATTGTTGACATTTTATTTCCGTTTAGAGAACTGTATCCACATGAAGAGTGCACGTGGGAATTCTGGAAGAGGAAATTCGGGAACCCACATAGAAAGGATGGAAGCTGAGTTAGTCGCTTCTGCAGGGTTTGATGCTGAAATCCATCTGCCTGAATAAATATGTCCAACATTCCTAGACTAAGGTAAATTTGGGAACATATATTAGGACAACAGTTCCTTATACTGGATATGCCATCCTGGTCCATAACAGACTTCCCTATAAAGTGGGTAGAAGTTTGTTCACCACAGATCAGACTAAAGAAGCAATATCAAAAACTGCTCTGCCTCCTGTTAGCTCTGTGTTTTCAGCCATATGTGGCTTAAAATTTTGAATTAATCTATAACCTATAGAGAAATTAAATACCGCCCATCATAGAGAAAAAATATGGAGACTTATCTCAAAAACTAAAGTTAAGGACACCAATCAGGACCTACTGACAGGAAATAAGCTTGCTTGGTATTTTGTATCTCAGTCTTTTTGAGACACGAATGGATTAATACTCAGGCATAAAAAAAATAAAGTCCCATTATTTGCAGCAAAATGAGTGAACTAGAGAGATGCTGTGTTAAGTGAAATTAGTCATTCACTGGAGGCTGAGTATGGTTGTCCAATTTCATTTTTGTGAAATGAAACTTTAATCCGAGTAGGGTAGATATTACTAAGAATTTGGACTGGATAAGGATAAGGAGAAAAATGGACACATGCACTTTATGATTGCTGCATGCATGCATGAATGGACTATACTGAACTCCATAAAGATGTATTAATTCATTTATAAAAACATAACACTCAAGTATCAGGAAGGAATGAAAACAAATACACTGTCTCCAAACTTCCTTAAGGAGTTAACTCTAAAGCAGAAAGCAGGTTGATGCACTTGACTTACTTAAAAACAATATATTTAAATTTGAAGTAAAATCCTCTGAGGGGGGGAAAACTAGCAACATTCAAAAAAGGTTAGTTTAGTTTTTTACTTTTTTCTGTGACAAATAGAGAAGACAAAACCTAATAAGTGCTTAGCTCAGAATACATGTTCAGTATTTAA